GATGTGATTTGTCATTATTTTGGAAGAGCTGCAATCCCAAAGGCATGAGGTTAAAATCCACCAGCGGCTCCATAGGATAAAGAAGGGCAGTCACTACTGATTGCAATATAATGCCTCTGCTAATCCTCTGGGAGAGAAGCTATGAATTACTTCTGACTTGATGCTGCTGCACAACAACAATGATGTAAATGAACACAGTGACTGCAAGAATGGGTTTGAGCACAGCAGAGGTGGTGAGATGGTGTTTCTATCAGTCCATATAGGGTCACTGTGATTCTTATTTAATTCAACAGCACCTACCAACAACATGCTGGACGTGGTGAAATATCTTTACATGTAATTATATGTTAAAATTTCTTTATTTTTCTTGTCAAGTGAGGTAAAACAAATTTATCATAATTCCATTTATTTTGTAGCTCAAAAATACAGATAAATTAGTGATTTTTCTGAAGATTCACAACTAGGAAGGGGTGGAATTAGTTTGGACTTTAATTATCTGAAGGAGGGCATACTAATGGGCTATAATCTTTAATGTAGCTGTAAAATACAGAACCCTTGGGTCACAGGTGATGGACCAAATTCTTGTGAGTAATGTGTGGCCAAAATTCCCCACTCCTCTTAGAGAAAAGTCTGTGTTTAACTAAAAATAATATCATAGAAAGCCCTAGTCACTAGGAAAAGTTCCAGACATAAGTATAAAAACAAAGTTTATGCTATATTTTTAGAAGACTCTACAATTAGGTGATACCAAGCTGAAGTAGACTTCTATGATATTACAGCTGCTACTCATAGGGGGTTAGTTTCCATGCTCAGAATATCTGACAGTCTCTTGCGTAGACAATTAATTGCTTAGATTTTTTTTTTTTTTTTTTTTTTTTTTGCTTAGATTTTCTAAGCAAACAATTCATTTAGTTTCCAAGGATTGATCACAGTCTATTTATTTGTAATTTCTAACCACCATAGTCAGGGAAGTCCATGTTGAAGTTTTGCTTTACAAAATGTCTTATAAGTTGTGTATTAACAGTGTCCTCTCATATGTGTCTGTCAGCATCTTCACACCTTAATCATAAATTTAGGCAAGAAGTTTCTTTCTATTTTCATTATTACTTATAGATAGGGACTATTTTTGGTTTTTCTTTGTTTATTTTGTTTCCTTATTGCTACTCAAGTACATAGCATGTAACACTAAGTCCAGTAATTAGAAAGTCCATTCATTTTAGAAATGAGAAATATAATGCCTGAATTGTATAAGGACTATACTAAAAGAGAAAAAAATAGGAATAAGGAAGACTGAAGAAGAGTTGATGTCTTTGAATTAGTGTTAGTGAATTGGTGTTAGTGAAAATATTTAATAGATAATTGACTTTCAGAAGAACAGACAAATCTCTTAGAGGAAGTGCAGGCGGGACCTTCCTCAGGAACGAGCATGACCGGACTTCATCCTGCATATCTTGAGCATGTTGTCTGGAGAAATCAGTCCTTGAGAAGGACATCCATCTGGGAAAAGTAGTGGAGTAGAACAAATTAGAGGGTTAGTGAAAGGGAGGAAGATCTTCAAGGAGATGGATTGACTGTAGCAATCGACTTGAACAAGGTGGTGATTGCAGGATGATGCTGGGTAGGGCAAGGTTTATGTCTGCTGTTCATAGGGTCACTATGAGTCATACTTGACTTGATGGCAGAACAACAAAAATAGAATAAATGAGCTTTCCTTAGACTGACCACCATGAGATTTTTGAACAAGATCTTAAATATAGTAACTTTCTAAATAAGGTGTCTAGATAATGAAGGCTTATGCCATTTGTGTTATCATTTGACTGGGATTGGAAGTAAGGCATTTGTAGTTTAATTTTAACAGAAAGACCATGATATATAAAGATCATTTTAATCCATAGATTATTAAAAAGAAAGTGACATGTGTAAATGAACAGATTCATGAGTTTGTCATAGTGTCTGCCATCTTCATGTACCACCTAGTGTTCTGCATGAATACTATTTGTGTACAAGGATGTAGACTTGACTCCCCTAACCATATGTAATGGGATTAGAGGTGGGCTTTTGATTTAAAGGCAGCCAATCCACAGATTGAGAAACGGTTATATAGTGACTATTTACTACTGAAACAAGAAAAAAAAATTATCGTGAATCAGGCCATAATGAGAAGAGTAGCTCAAAGGATAAACAAATTCATGAGGTGAGAGAATTTAGGGGCCAAGAGTAAGTTAACAGAGGAGAAATTAATAAAGAAAAATTATGACATAACAGCTGTGCATTGTGGAAAGAAAAGTATTTTGTTTACCAACCCCACAGTAATAAATATATAAGCTTTCATTTTTTTTTAAGTCCAAGAAACATATGTATGACTTACAGCTAAGATTGATGTTCCTATAATTCCTTGAAGAACAAAGGAAATTTCAATTCCAGATTCTAAACGGCTTAATTCCTTGTCTTTTTTTGGTGCCAATTGATATACAAGTTTAGAAAAACTTAGTTAGAACTTAATTTCAATTTGTTGGTAGTAACTCACAGATATAACAAAGTGGAGAGCTAAACGTTAAGAAAGTAGAGAACAGAAAGCCTGTGAACTTTTGCAGCAAGCCAATATTGTCTCCCTAATACACTTTCATTAAGATGATGCAGTTCTGAATACCTCTTATCTGAATTTCCCCAAGCCATTTAAAATCCTCCAAAGCATTCTCTTGACATAATTTATAAAGATGTGCAGTTCAAATTCCCTACTGTCAAGTTGGAATCATTTCATAGCTGATCCTCCAGTGAGTTTCCAAGGCTGTAAATTGCACAAAAGGAGATCATCCATCTTTATTCCCTAAAGATGCAGGTGGATTCAGACTTTCAAAAAGGTATGATTTTTTAATCAAGACTACAACTCATTATAGATGTCACCACCAGAACTTAACAAGTTATGTACTGTACACATATGTTCATTGATTCATTACCTGATCAAGTCTTCAAATATATATCAAAAGGCACCAAACATAATTATAAATACAAAAGTTTTATTTTCCAGGAAGCAACATGTTTAAAATTTCTTGCAATCATAAAATTCATATGCCAAAAGATAAGAAAATAGACAATGACCAAAAATGTAGTTGATATGTTCTGTTGAATCTACTATGACTCACAGCAACCATATGAACAGTGCCTTGGAACCTTGCCCTATCCTGAGCCAACTTAACCATCTTTGACACACCTGAACCTATTGCCACAAGTCACTGTGTCAATCTGTCTTATTCAGGGTCTTCCTCTTCTTTGCATGATGTTATTCCCCAAAGTCTGGTCCCTCTTGGCAACTGCCCAAAGTATGTGATAGGAAGCTTCAAAATTCTTTCCTCCAAAGAGCAAACTGGTTTCATCATCTCCAGGTCAAATCTATTTGTTCTCTTAGTATTCCATAGTATGTTTAGTACTCATCTCTAACATCAACGCAAAGGCACTAATTCTTCTCCTGTCATTCTTTTTCATTGTCCAGCTCTTAGATAAATGGCAAGCCAATGAGAAGTCCATGGCCAAGATCAGGTGCACCTTAATTTCTAAACTGACCTTGTTGCTCTTTAGCACTCTGGAGAGATCCTTGGCAGCATATTTCACCAGTGCAATTTGTCTTTTGATTTCCTGACTGATGGTGACAAGAGTGTTGATTGTGGATCCAAGGAAGATGAAATTGTTAACAACCACTTTCTCCCATCTATAATGATGTTGCCAATAGACTCAATGCTGAGCTTTGTTTTCTTAATGTTGACATCCAATCCATATTGAAAACTTCAGTCCTTGACCTCTGAAGCAAACGCTTCAACTCCTCACTTTCTGAAAGCAAGGTTGTATTATCTATATAACACAACTTGCTGATGAAACTTCCTCCAATCCTGATGTGCCACTCTTCTTTATAAAGTCCTGCTCCTTTAATTATCTGTTTTACATACTGACTGAAAATGTATGGAGGAAGGATACATCTCTGACCCACTTCTTTCTTGATTTTGAGCCATGTAGTGTTCCCTTAGGGAGCTCTGGTGGCCTAGTGGCAAGAAGCTGTGCTGCAATCCCAAAGGCACAGAGTTTGAGGCCACCAGCTGCTCCACAGAAGAAAGATGGGCACTCTCCTCCCGTGGAATTAGCTGCCTCTAAAAACTCGCTAGAGCGTCAGTTATGGGTCGGTTCTGACTACAGTACACAACAACAAGTGTTCCCTTACTCTGTTTGGACAACAGCTTCCTGGTCTAGTTTTAAGTTTTGCGTGTGCACAATCAGGTGGTCTGGGATCAAATAAATATGATGTATGTAGATAACGTCAAGTTATATGATGAAAATGACATCAAATATGGAGACAGTAGCTTTTGTATATTACAGTCAGCATTCCTAGTGTATGGCTCCTACTCAACACATTTTCTGGAAAATTTCAAGATATAAAAAAATCTTAACTCTTGTGACATGGTCCAAAGGGATTTGAACTGCTAGTTCAAAGATGACACTTTACTGGTAATTTGGATCCACCAAAAGTAGGGGAAAATCACCTCCAGCATGATTTACAAATTCTAAAAGTTCACTGGAGTTGCTTCCTACTAGACTGAAATTAATGAAAGAAAACTTTATGAGATAGAGAAATATCCAAACCAGTATTTATGATATAATATTTGAACTATTATATTACCCACATTTTTGAACCATCAACTCATATTATTTGACTTATCACCAATATGTTTAAGTATCTCTCAAATGGAAATGTATTTCTTTTAATTAATTTAGTGTCCTTTGTACCAGGAGTCAGGAGATCAGGAAGCATATTACATTGGGCAAGTCTGCTGTTAGGAATGTCTCTGAATTACTAATGACCAATGATGTCCATTTTAAGATTAAGTTGCGCCTGAGTCAGGTCATAGCTTTTTCAATCATTTTATATGCATCTGAAAGCTAGTCAGTGAATAATAACAAGAAAAATTGATGGCTTTGAGCTGTAGTGTTGGAAAAGAGTACTGAAGACCACCATGGACCCCCAAAATAACAAGGGGACATGCCCTGAAGAAAGTGCAGCCAGAATGCTCTTTGAAGCCAAGAGTGATCAAAAACTTCATGTCTTGCACTTTGAGCATTTTACTAGAAGAGGTCATTCTTTGGAGAAGGACCACATGTTGGAAAGGTAGAGGATCAACAAAGAAAAGGAAGAGTCTCAATGAGATGAATTTATACAGTCGCAGGAGCAAAAGACACAGTGATAATGGTGGCAGGGGTAGGACAGGTTTCAGATCTATTGTTCATAGGGTAGGGTCGTTAGAAGTCTTACTCAACTAGATGGCACCACAACAACAGTTAAAATACATTTTTTGCTTTAGAGCAGTTATTAGGTTTTTGAAGTTATGTTCTTTGTGTCTTGCCACCTTTAAGGCTTTATTTTAAAAATCTTTCTAATTTATAATTAAATGAAAATTTTCTTCAGCAAATAAATGTTAGATGCAAGAAAAATAATTATTTGAAAGATTGCCTTCACAATTGTGAGCAGTTTTGTTGTTGTTTTGTTTGTGTGTGTGTGTGTGTGTGTGTGTGTGTGTGTGTGTTTACAGCATTCCTGTAAATGGTCAACTTTGAAAAGCAGTGGCATGAAATTATGTGTTCGCATGTATTTTTTACTTGACTGGTTAGCTATTTACTCTTTGGCTTGTGATGGTTTCTCTAATTGTCTGAGAAAGGTGTAGGTGTAGTTACTCACCACAACATAAAATATTGAAAGATGACAGAGGGAAAGCACTTTACTAGTCTCTTGGGAAAGAAAATTGCTTATCTGTAATTGTTTTGTTCTCTGAAGAAATTTATCAGACTGCCATTTCCGCATGAATTTTCTGGATCCAGTGTGACCCACTATTTTAATGTCAACAGAAACAAGCCTGTGTAGAATTTCCCGGCCTTCTGTATGCTCTAGTTAACCTGAGGGACCTTTAAGGTATAATTTGTAGAGAAAGACAGCACCATGACACAGAGGAGGCAAGAATTGATTTGTAAGTCGTGTCTCAGCATCCAGACTGACAAATTGTGAACAGAAGCACCAGAGATGGGGGCGGGGGGACCAAAGAAGAAAACAAAAATTGCACTCATCATCTAAAGTAATATCAGAATGTGTAGCTGGGGCCTTGATTAAATGGATGTCATAAATATTCAAATAGACTGCTAACCTCAATCTGAGTGTAAAGAACAACTAATTGTTCATCCATTTTTATGCCTATTTATTGCTTCTCTCTGATGTGTTTAGGACCGTCCAAAGCAAAGGAAATACTTTGGGAGCAGCGTAGATGTGTTCCAGTAGTCACAAAGAATTTATTGTTAAAAGAGCAATTGAAACAACATACACTAGAGTGTAGACTGTGCTTTGGGAATCTCTTGCTATAGATTAGGGAGATACTAGGAGTAGAGAGACATAAGAAAAAGAAGGAGGTGAGTTAGTAGAAAGTATAAATAGCTTCAAACATAGCAACCAGCTAAGAGAAATAAGACATAATGCAAGACTACACTGAATGATGTTCTGGCAAAACTATGCAGGGCACGGAACACGGAACAATTGCATCAAGGTTGTAAAATTAGACAAGTCCAAGTACACTCTTTGACAATCTTTTGTGGAATAATTTCAGTTTTTTTAAAGCTACTTAATGAAAGAAAGTTTAAGAGAAATTTTTTAAAAATTTTACATCCCTGAAGGACCTTCTGGTGGTGTAGTCTGTAGGGATTTGTGCTGCTCACACAAAGACTGCACCTCTCTGGCAGTTCAGATCACCAGTGATTCCCTGGGGGAAAGGTGGCTTATTTCCTCCCATTCAATTTACATATACAGAACCCCACTGAAGTGTTGAACTCAGTGAATAGGTATGAATTTTGTAAGGTGGATAGTAAGGGAGATGAATGAGCGTAATACAAAATGGAGAGTAATCAAACTGTGTGCCTTCAGGATTGCAGCATAGCTTCTTGCCACTAGACCACCAGTGCTCATTATGATTCTAAGAACTTGAAGATGACAAAGAAACGCAGAAGTTAGTATATGAGAAGGAAAGTTTAGAAGTGAAGAAAGGCTTAAGAGGTAATTTTTTAACTCAGTCTTGGATTTTATGAAACAAAAGAAGAAAGGACCTTAAGAGGATCTCATGTATGGTAGATTCAAAACATATGAGTGCAAGATCTACTTAGAGCTGTGAGTAGAATTTTATTATTATAGAAATGTTTTCCTGAGAGTTTTTCAGAAAATATGGTGTAAAATGATCTTGAAAAACTTGCACAATCTTTTTTTCTTGAAAAATTAACTGCAACTCATTGTGATGCTAGATCATAACCTTGCCCCACGCTGCACCATCCACACAATCTCCCTTGTGCTTGTGTCCATTGTTGAAGTTACTGCATCAATACTTCTCACTAAAGGGCCTTCTTTTCCTTCACTGACTCCCCATTTTTCCAAGCGCAATTTCATTTTCCAAGAATTGGCCCCTTCCTCTTAGTGTGTCAAACATATATGAGACAAAGCTTCATTATCCACGTTACTAGTAAGAAGCACTCTGGCTGCATGTCTTCCAAAAAAAAGAAATATTTGTCATTCTGATGGTCCATGAGATAGTCGATAATTTGTGCCAATACCACAATACACAGTGATAAAGCCTGTCTTCTTTAATCATCCCTATTCATTTTCCAACTTTCAGATGAATATGAAGCAATATGAATCACGAATGTGAATCATGGCTTGAGTCAGATGTATGTATCTTAATCCTCAAAGTGATATTTCTTACTTTTTGGCACTTTAAAGTACCATTGAACCTTGCCCATCATTACTCTACTTTTCATCAGGATCCTTCTAATTACTTCCCCACCCCACCCACTGCCCTCTATCCATCAAACTGTGCAACCTTGTGGTTCCACCCCTACCCATCTTCACCCTTCTGTTCTCACTCCTCCCCCCTTTGGTTCCCATACATGTTTTACTAATTATTTTTCTGTTTTTACAATAATGGTCTTATACAGTATTTGTCCTTACGAGACTGAGTTAGTTCACTCAGCATAATGCTCTCCTGTCTCTTTGAAGTTACATAGTAATTTTCAAAATCATTGTTCCTGAGTCATAGTATTTAATTGCGTGAATGTACCATAATTTCTCAATCCATTCTATTAGTGATTGGACACTTGGGCTGTTTCCATGTTCTTGCGATGGTGAATAATGCTGGTATGAACATAAGTGTAAAATCTCTGTTTGTGTTTCAGATCTCATTACTTGGGGTAGATTCCTAGCAGTGGAATAGCTGGTCATATGGGGTTTCTGTGTTCAAATTTTTGAGGAAATATCAAACTGTCTTCCAGAGTGGTTATACCTTTTTACAATACCACCAACACCGTATGAGAATTCCTACCTCTCCATATCCTCTCCAACAGTTATTGCTTGCTGCCCCAACTAGGGAACATTTTGACTATATAGCATCTGATTGTGTGGATAACAACAAACTGTGGCTGACTTTGAGAAGAATGGGAATCCCAGAACTCTTAATTGTGCTTATGTAAAACTTATACTTGGACCAGGAGGCAATCATCAGAACAGAGCAAGGAAACAATGCATGGTTCAAAATTGACAAGAGTGTGCATCAAGGATGTGTCCTATCTCCATATCTTTTCAATGTATATGTGGAACAGATTATCCGGGAGGCTGGGCTGTATGAGGAGAATTGTGGCATCAGGATTGGAGGAAGACTCATCAACAATCTGTGTTATGCAGATGGCACAACCCTACTTGCTGAAACTGAGAAGGACCTAAAGCAGAAGGAAGACCTTGCTGCAGAAGGTCAGGGATTGAAGCCTTCAATATGGATGGAAGCTCAACATCAAGAAAACAAAGATTCTCACCACTGGACCAATTGGCAGCATCCTGATGGATGGTGAAGAAACTGAGATTGTTGACGGCTTTAGTTTGCTTGGCTCTACAGTCAACACTATTGGTACCAGCAGCCAGGAAATTAAAAGACAAGACAAATTGCATTGGGAAAGTCTACTGTCAGAAACCTCTCCAAGTTACTGAGGAACAATGATGTCAGTCTAGAGACTAAGGTGCACCTGATACAGGCCATAGTCTTTGCAATTACTTGTTATGAATCAAAGAGCTGGACACTGACTAGGAATGGTAGAAGGAGAGTTGATGACTTTGAGCTTTAGTGCTGTAGAAGGGTATTGAATATACCATGGACTGCTAAGAAAACCAGTAAGTTTTTCCTGGAGAGGTTGAAGCCACACTGTTCCTTGGAGGCAAGGATTCTGAAGCTCCATCTAACGTACTTTGGATATGTTTCAAGGTGGAATCTATCCTTGGAGAGGAACATTATGCTTGGGAGGAAGAAGGGGCAGTGCAGGAGAGGAAGCCTCAATGAGATGGATTGATTCCATCCTGGGGTAGTGGGGATAGGTGTGTCAGAGACAATAAGTTTGGTGCGAGATAGGGCAGGCTGTTGCACATAGGGCCACTATGACTTGATGACACATAACAACAACAACAATAACAACAACAACAACATTTTTAAAATCATGTTTTTTATTCTCCTGCCAGTCACACACAACCCAGTACCATAATGAAAATGAATTCCTTTTACTCCAGTCTTTATTGTTTAGATTATGTACACATATGAAACAATTTAAAATATCATAGTTTGGGCCTGGCAGAAACATTTTAGTAATCCACTTCTTATTTGTTTGTTTTGTTTCTCACTGTTTCTGATATATGAACACAAAAAGGGATAATGCATGTTTGACATCTCTGATATAACCTGAAATGATTTTTCTCTTTATTCTGTAGGTGGTCAGGAATGACTGACATACTTTAACACAGAATAACAGAATAACATGATTAGTTATGGGTAGCAGCATTGTTAACATACTGGAGGTACCTAAATGGAGGATGAGGAACTAGTCTAAGAGTATATATATATGTATATATATATACACACACACACACAACAAATAATCAGATCTTGAACTTCATCAGTGACAATGTAGATACAAAGGTGGTGGAAAATGAATCAACAAAAACAAGGAATTTATTAGATTAGACATGTAATAATAGAAAATGTCTAGGACAACTGAAAGATTATAGTTGGATAACATTTGCTTTGGTAAAAATAAATG